TTAAGAATTATGAGGGGTCAGATACTTATAATCGCTTATGTACTAGCATAATAATATAAAAGAAAATTTTTGTAACACATTATATTAAATGATACTTTTTATAATGAATTTATTTATAATGAATTTTTTTTATACAATGAAAATTTTAAAAGATAGATGTTATTTTAAAGAGAAATAGTTCTATAAAAAATATTAGTAAACATACTCAAAGAAGCTTACTTATTCTAAAGAGAAGGAATTTAATATATCAATTAGTTTTTAAGGTTTAAAGAAAATCTGTTTTAAAAAAAAAGAAAAGAATATTAATAAATGTTCTTAGAAAAACTTACTCATTTCAAGTAAATGAAATTCAACTTATCAGTTAGTTCCTAAAATCTAAAAAAAGTCAGTTTTTTAAAAAAAAAGAAAAAATATTAGTTAACGTTTTTAGAGTTATCTATCTATTCTAAGAAAAAGAAATTTAATTTACCAATAAGTATATAATTTACATTATATCAAGTTGTTCTAAATTTATTTTTGAAAATATTGATGAATTAATAAACGAAATTTAATATTTATCATGTGATTTGATTTTTAGCCAAGTTAAATTGAAACATTTATTTCTTATTGTGTTTCAAATCATACTTTAGGTTCTTTTATGCCTTTGATGATAAATAAAAAAACTCAATAATCATGAAAGTATGCTTGCAAGACAGTTTGTTCTTAGATAAAAATTCAAATTAACGTGACTTTGATTGCATTTCATAATAAAATTATTTTTTAATTATGCTTAATACCAAATATATTATAAAGGTTTGGGTTAAGGCACAGGAAGATAACTGAATAAAAACTTATATTATTAAAAGTAACTCCCGTGATTTAGAAAAACTAGACACATAGGGAATAGGTCTCAAGAAAATATCATAGACAAGCTATAATGTAAAAGTAATACACTAGTGTGAAAAGCTAAGAATTTCAGTATTACCCATTTCAGATACAGTAAATTTACCCTTGTTTGTTCTGGTTATACCAATATCACAATCCACTCTAGATGTAATAGATTTATCCTCATCTATTTCAGATACAGTGATTTTCTCTTTGCTTACTTTAAATGCAGAAACATCTGCTAGTGCTTCCCAAAGTAAGGTAAATAATATTCTTAAATAAATATATTTATTTTACTTATGTATTTTTATATTTCTGATTTAACAATTTTGTAGATAATGATAAAAAAGGAAAAAAAGAGAAGCAAAAGATCTTTTACAGAAACTAATAAAAGTTTTACAAGTAATAAGATCTGGTAAGAAACTTGGATAGTAAAATTATAGAAATTTTTGTTATTATAATCAAATATTTATTATTTTTATATACCGTACTATTTCAAAATAAGCATTTTCTAAATTGATTCAGGTCTAAAAATAAGCATCTCCTTCAAAGTCATAAATCTTTTTATTTAAAGATTTTACAAATAATTTAATAATAAAATAATAAAATAATATTGTTAATAAAAAATTTCTTATATTTTATTATAAAATTTATTATAATTTTATATTCTTTGCAATTTATTATATAATATTATAACATCTAGCAATGTCAATACTAATCTGTAAAATTCTATCATAATACAAAAAAATTGATTAGTAATTTATCATTCTACTATTTCTCATTATCCCTCATTATCACTATTATTAATATTATCATCATCAATAAATATCATTATTATCAGCAATATTATCATCACTAATAATATTATTACTAGATTTATCAATGATATCATATTCAGATTCATTACCAATATTATCATTTTACTGATTTCATCATCTGATCCATCTAAAGATGATGATATCTTATAAGTTTTAAATGATTTTATAATCATTTTATTCAGAATCCTTTCTCAAGCCTACTTTACACATTCATAATCATTGAATAATTTGATATGATAAAAGTTGTTTACTGCAGCTGACTCCTCTTTTTACTATCTATAATCCTTAAAAAACTTATTAATTGTAATATTCAGTGGTTGATATATGCTAGTCAGACTAATGGAAATAACTACTAGATCAAAATTATGATCTTGAAATTTTTTCTTAATAGATTCTTCTAAATGGCCTCTGAATGAATCATATATAATAATTGCTAGGCTATTATTGATTAGGTTTTTAATATAATCAATATATTTTATCATTAAATTGGTATTCATTTATCTATTTTTCTAAAACCAAACAAAAATACCAGATGAAATCTGTTTACTATGTGGCATTTTTTTCCCTTAAAAATACAAATTAGTGAAAATTTAGTTCTATTTAAATAATTTTAAAATGTTTAATAAAAAATTCAATCAGATAACTATAATAAGTCAGATTATATAGTTTTTAAATTAATGCTATTCTTAAAAATGTATCTACTTGCAACATATATCAAAATAACTGTGAATCAGTTTTTCATTTTCAGTTTTACAGATATGAATCATTTTTTTGCCTATTTGATTAATAGTAAAGTTTTTTGCCATACAAATTAGATTGAGTCTCATTGATATTAAAATATTAGCCATTTCATAGGATTTTTCAGTTTGAAATCAAATAATATTCTGTTGAAAATTATTTAATAACTTATTAGTTTGTAAAGAAAGCTTTTGGAAAACTTTAGTATAACACCACTGAGATAACTTATATCTTTTTATAAAACTAGACATCCAGTGGTAAGACGTTTTAAAATCTGCAGAATTGCCATAAATGTTTATAATTTCTTATTCTCTATAATTTTTAACACTTAATCCCTTCTTTCTCTATTTTATGATCTAGTCATAATGTTTTTTTTCTGTTTCAAGAAAAAATTCTTTTCTTTCAAAACCAACTTTTTTAATATTTTGATTCTTTCAGACCACTTATTGCTTGCTTTTATTTACCTACTAACTATAATATTATTAAGGTTAAAGTGTTTTGCAGTTTCATTTCTTTTATTTTTAATAGCATAACTAACAACTTGTTACTTTTTTTCTATAGAATAAGAATTATGGCAAAATTTATTTTTTTAAAATATTTATTTAAAACTTTTCTTGCTCTCTTCTTTTTTGTGATATGTTATATGAATAAAGTTTTAAAACAAGTTTTAAATCTGATTTTTGAAATTTCACATAACTTATATTTTATATATCATGTTATAATACAAAGATCAGCAAAGATCAGCAAATTTTCTTAAATTTATTTGCTTAATATAAAATTTTATATAAATATTCTGAAAATAAGCATCTTTATAGCAAAAAGGTGTGCTTATTTTCAAAATAATATGGTAATAAAATTATTTAATAATTTTTAGGATTCTATATGAAATTTATCCATTTTTATTTAACAATAATATCAGTATTTATATGGAATTTATTCAATAATTTTCTAGTGTTTTATACAGAATTTATTCATTTTATATAATAAATTTATTTAGTATTTTATATGGAATTTATAAATTTTTATTTAATAAATTCATTCAATGATTTTTCAGTATTCTATATGGAATTTATCAGTTTTATTGATTAAGTATATAAACTTTATTTGCTAAATAATTTCCATGAAGTTCCTATATTAATTCTGTTAATATGAGACTTTTATGGAAAAAAAATGGAATTTTTTATTTATTAATATAAATAAAATAAATATAGAATTGAATTACAGAAAAAATTTTTTATAGGATTGCTACTATTACAATTAAATGTAATTTACAACCAAATTCTTTATAACTTCACTTAAAAAATGTTTATGATTATTATAGTTAGTCCCTTTAATGATTATTTGCTAAGTTGTCATAGTTTCAGGATGTTAAGATGTCAGGTTGTCATAGTGCCAGTTTGTCAAGGTTCCAGTTTGTCAAGATAATAGCATAACAAATGGTTAAAATGCCAGGCTGGCTTAATTAAAATTCTTTTTATATATTGAGCTGAAAATCCTAAAACAGCTCAATATCCCATTCTCGCCTTTAGTATATTTCTTTAAAAATCATTTCCTTCGCAATCCTCCTTTTACACCTTCACAATAATTTGAATTTTTGCCTTTTTAATTTTATAATTTGTATTTATAATAGCGTTTATTATTTTTATTTTAATTTTTGATTTTATTAGTATATTTTTATTCAATTTTTATGTAACAATTTCATAATTGCATAGTTTTAATTAATTAGAATTAGTATTTGGCATTTATAGAGTTTAAACTATTGATATAATGAAAGTATAGAGCGCTGACATTGAGGTAACACTGATTAATTTGATATGTATTAGTTATTCTATATGAATCAATAGATATCATTGATTTTCACAGCTGCATCGTGAAAATATCAATGTTATTCATATAATCACTGTGGAATAATTTTTTTATCTCCTGAGGACTAATGCCTGTGATGAAAAATTTTAGTTTATTAATAGTTTATTTTATTTAGCTATGAAAAGTTTATTTTATTATAAAATATTTATTTTGCTATAAAATTTCCATACTTTCTTTTGAAAACAAAAAATTAAAATACCTCAAAAATGCATCAATAAAGAAAAGAAACTTCATAAAACTTTTAACCCTATCTTCACTAATGCAAGTACTTTCTATCATTCTCAAAAGATATCAGAGATTACAACTTTTATTCAAAGATACTTTGAATCCTTTTTTCTCTTTACAAATATTTGAAATTCAAGAAAAGCTTAATTTTTATTGTTAAAAAGCTATGGTACTGAATTAATTTACATGATAAATATGAGTTTTCAGATTTATTTAGTTTTACATGGCAAAATGAAAGATTCTTAAGAAAAGGGATTTGATGAAAAAGAGGGATCAATGGTATTGATTGCATAGCAAGTTCAAGAAATCCTTGCTAATGACTTTTTTAATTCTAATATTCTGAAGATCTTTTATATCATGTATTTTTTCAAATTGCAACTAACTTTGCATTTTGTGATAGTGAACATTATAATCTTCATATAGATAAATTTTAATTTCTATCTAATGGTAGTTTGCTTTTTTGCTATTATTGTAGCAAAAACAATCAGCATGGAATTGAAGGAGGAGCTGCATAGAATATTCATCTTCTTTCAAATTCAGAATCAGCTAATTATTAAAAAATATTTGTCTAAACGTCCTAGTGGTGCTTCTAAAAATTTCTATTTATATATTAATCCACTTTGGTGTGAAACTGGTATTTGATATAAACACATTATGGAAGTAATAAAGCAGGGAATTTTATGAAAGATATTGAAAATCTGTTAAAGTAGAACTTTTATTTGTCTTTTAACAAACCATTCTGGTCATAAAACTGTTGCTCAAATTCTTCAGGATGCTAATATTTCAGAAGATGTTATAATGGGAGTAACAGGTCATAAAAGTATTCAAGGTGTTTGTGCATATAAAGAAGTGAATAAAAAACAACATCTTGTTGCTATGGATACTTTAATTAATGCTTAGAACCATCAAGATCAATTCCTACTGATTAAACAAGTAAAAATGCAAATGTTGATGTTCAACCAGAAATTCCTTCTTCAATTTTTACAACAACATTGGAATTTTCTTCTGCTAATGATATTTAAAAGAAACTTCCTATTTATTTTTAATAATTGTCATTTTAATAATGTAACTTTTAAATTGTAAATGTATTTGTATTACAAATAATAATATATTGTATAATTAAATGTTAATGATCTGCATTAAAATAAACTTTGATATTTTAACTGGCATTAAAATATCAATATAAAAAATCACAGGCGACCATTAGTAACCATGAGATAATATTAAATAAATACTTGTCACAATTACTTCATTTTTATTCAATAATTATTCATTAAAAACCTTCTGCTTACATTACTAATTGTTTATAAATACATAAACGAAAGAACTGAATACAACACTACTAACCCATTATTTCGAAGTAGTGACGAATAGTAAGTGTTGAAAAGTTCAAGATTTTCTTTTCTTGTAGCCAGTTTCATACTTCAACAGCTGATGAAAACATCTGAATAGTAAAAAGGTTAACAATCCATCTTTGTGTTGGTTCATTTACAGTAGGTAACCGGTTAAACGGTCAACATGTTGACCGGTTAAAATAGATGAAATTAATTCCGGCCGAAATTTCAATTTCCGGCCAGAATTAAGATTTTATGGTTGCAAAAATATAGTTTAATTCCGGCTAAATTTATAGTACTGGCCTAAGTTAATTTTAATCGGTTAAAGGTTTAGGCCAGTTCCATCCTCTATCTGAGACGTAATTCATCCAAAAAAAAAAAAAACAAGATAAAATTTATCGAACACTGCGGTCGAACCCGAAAATTTCCACGGAAAGATAAAAAAAAAAAGGAAAGTAGCGTTACCTAATGAACCGTGTTTAGGTAAGTATTATTCAAGAGGGTTATTCTTCTGTATTTTATAATTTACAATTATTCTAAATACAAGTAGTAAATGAATTCTATTAACTCGGGTAGTCCGATGACGCTGAACTAACGATTTCTTAAAAATAGATTTTTTTATAGAAACTATAAGGAATGGTTAAACAATAATGATTAAATAAATAAATACGAATATTCTTAATATTATAAATTTTCATGTTGATTTATTAATTATGAAAATTACTAAATAATATATGTCATTAAGAAATCTGATTAAAAATTATTTATTTACATTAGTCTATTCAAGTAACGTGTAGCTGTAAAGCTTGAGAAGTGCCGGAATTTGGAAAGAATTATATATCTTGTGGTAAATGGTAAATTCTTTTGAAAGATTTGTTCTATTTTTCTCTATTTTTATCTGCATTTGGGTTGGCCATTCAAAAATAATTTGTATACCAGAAGATCTTACATCATCTCCACTCGTAAACAATCTTCTATCAGATATACTGTTATACTACCACAAATATAAAAGGTCGGAAATCACAAAATAATTAAGAACTGGAGCTTTGTGTCAACTCCTGATATATTACGAATTCAGAAGAGTACCTAAAGTTTATAATTGAGATTTTAAATATTGTTTCTCATAAAACCTAAATTCATATGGGAAAGTTGCCATTTAGTCATAAAATATAGTGGCGTGTTAGGCAACTTAAACTGCGTATCCATATCCGCGCTTCTTTATTTACTAATTTTTCAGTAGTGAAAAGTTTATTCTGTACTATCCGTCATTGTATGCGCCACAATTTATCGTAATCCATTAATTATGTAATGACTACTTTACTGCTGTTTTATCCTGGAGGAGAAGAAATTAAAACCTGTCACAAATCCTTGTATATGAGATCTGGATACAAACTTAGAGAGTTTCTATAATGCTTGGAGTGGAATTTCTCAATTTGTACTCACCAAGCAAACAATCTTCAATTATTCAAACTGCTTAAATTCACCAGCAAGTGGATGAAACAGAATAGTTTCACACTATAGGCACGGCATATGATTGCCGTTGCCAAGATAATGATGAATCTAATTTTGATATTGATGCAAAGAATTTAAAATCCTGCTACATCCGTTTCCAGACGGAATTTTCTGATACGGTACGGAAGATCAAGTTGAAATTAAGTAATGAGTCAGTTGTTATTTGTGGAGTAATAATTAAACATACTTGATCAGATTCAGGTGATCCGGGTTGTATTTTTCGACAGGTCCAATCAATAATTTAACCATAGCCGGTCAAAATAATATAAGGATTGCAACGATGGCAACGACGGCAAAATAGTAAGCTACTTAAGTTCCGTTAAGGAACTAGTAAAATTGGTCGGAATTGCCTTTATTTTTGTAATCCTCCTAAGGCGCGTTTAATATGTAATCCTTATTATGTTCCGTAATTGTTAAACTTCAATAGTATCATATCGTTATAGATACTTCAACATTTGATTCTAATCCTATATGTATATCCGTTAAACGTATGTTATTTTTTTGAGTGGACCTGTTTTAAATGAATTTTCTTATGTATTGGAAGTCACAGCACCTTAATAATTGGAAAGTTTAAAAGACGCATAAAGGAATTCAAATAATATATAGTGAACTTTTCGATATAACGAAAATAATGCAGCACTGACATTTATTTCTTAATATGAATTTAAATAATTTTCTCAAATAGAGTCACATGATAACCAAACTATGTTGACCAGATAACAATTTAAATTACTTTGTTATATTTATCCTCGATTGTTTTATTTAATGTTTTTATGTATTGTCCAACGTCAGTAGTATCCAAAACATATTATTTCCGTATAATCTGGATTCTTCTTATACAGAGGGTGGACAAAAGTATCCGCACACCTCCATAAACGTGAATTAATGCTAGTAAAGTCATATGATCACAAT